CACACACACACACACACACACACACATGCTTTTGATTTTACTTTCACTTAATGAAACGGTGCCACTCTAACAGGGACATTATTATTCCAGAACAGTGATTGCAGAAGTAGTCAGGTTGCAAACATTGGAAACATTATCTTCACTTGTGGAAGCTGTTTCAGAGCAAAACTAAGTGCGATTTAATGGGCAATTAGCAAGTCAGTGTGAGGCCGTGTTAATCCCAGTGGGATGGAATTATATGATGTACAAGACACGAACGACTTCAATCCAAAGAAAAGCTCTCGGTGAGATTATGTAAAAAGAAAAGAGGCTAATATATTTATACCGTCTCTCCATGTACAGGCTCAGTAGTAGCTGTTACCTGTAAAAGTCAAGGCCTTTAATCCTCACAGATACACTTTCACAGTTTTCTTCATGCTTTCATTGTCTCGCTGTAATTGGTGGAGAAAATCACATTTATGAGTCATTTTTGAAAAATAGAGAAAATCAAATCATGTGTGCTATGAAGGCGATGCTCCACCTTATGGTCACCACTGCCTGCTTCTGTCTGTGATGCTGCGACTGTGTTTCAATGGAAAGTTGGACAAACAAATATCTGATTGGGTTCATGCAGAGCCCAGATGTGAAGGTGTGAGGACAGTAAGCAGATGTTTGGAGATGGGCTCATGTTCATGCGGTGGCTTTATTATCACTGCCCTGCAGAGTCTGTGTATGAGCAGTTCTTGCTGTGCAGAAGGATTACAGGCTGTGTCTTTTCTGTCCTCCAGGGGGCGCTGGTCTCAGCCTGTGCAGACGACACGTTGCACTTGTGGAATCTGCGCCAGAGGCGGCCGGCCATCCTGCATTCACTCAAGTTTAACAGAGAGAGGTATGCACACACTCGCACATAAAATCTGTATAAAAAGATGGACATAGGCCTCATGATGTCATCCTTTGGTAAGCGAATCAGCTCGAGCTGAGTGTTTGTGTGTACACTTCAAACTCACTGATCCTCCTCTGAGGATCATGATTTATTAACTCTGTGTTGTATCATTACGTCTAAAAGCAGCAGAGGCATAGAGGTGGACACCTTCTCACCCAGAGCGGCTCCGATGGTCTGTAGCTACATCCCATCCCAGCAAGCATGTGCTGGTTAGCAGCCTCAGCTGTGGCATCAGTATCCAAAGCCAAACAGCAGAGTGTGGGTGCTTAGAGGAACAGCCTTACCACTTTGGCTTTCTTCACAACTGAACTGAAATGTGTCCGTTACACCAAACGTGACCTGACACGATGTCTCCTGCAGAAAAGCGGATCTGTTGCACGCTCTGGGGTCATGCTGGCTGCGTCCTAAAGATGGAGAAGCAGAGTGTTGTTCAGATGTAGGACAGAACTCTGATGCTGGCTAAAAGCTCTGCTCCAGCTCAGCCGATGACCCCCGTGCCCCGCGACACCACGCCCCTGCCAGAGCCGACTCGTTTCACATTTGATCACCTAAACCCTGAAAACCACATGAAGCAGTGTTTACACGGTTATAGCAAACAGGCTTCTGTGCAACACTTTAAAAACACATTGCTGATGACGGCCTGGGTCGAACAGCAGTCAGAGAGCTGAATCTGGTGTCTTTGCTCCTCTTCTGTTTCAGAAGTCATCGTTCTGGTGGGGTGGGGGTGATGTGGGTGTAACAGTACCTGCTCGATGTCTTGATTGCGTGTCAGTGTCTGTACAGCTTCCATATTTGACACCTCGTGCCAGTCTCAGAAAAGAGAGGGCTGAGACGCCACCTGCAGCTCCTGCAGGAAGTTACTTGGTACAGACTACGTTTCCTCCAGCTGGTACAAATGTGATCAAGTCCTATGTTCATTGAAGCAGGCTGAGTGTGTTCTGTGTGTCTTGACTTCTGGCTCAGCTCGTTGGTTTCTGAATGGAGAAAGAGATTCCCATCCTCGGCTTGCTTGTTTTTCCATTCTTCTTCTGTCTATTGGCTCTTTGCTGTTTCCCATCAGCAGCACATTTTCTGCTCTATGCCATTAAACATTAATGCCAAACAATGGCCTCTGGATGCTGATGCTTGGTTTTAAAAACTTTTCCCCCAGTTTCCTCCTCAGGAAAACCTCAAAGGGTCACTCAGTTGATGCAAACGCTGCCTCTGAGTGACCCAAATGGGCAAAATGCTGTGAGCGGCTTAGTTCAGACACAGGCGCTTCAGTGTAGCACCGTTCGATTATTCTGATACCTGCAGGCTGCCATTTCTGTCTGCAGGGGGAAAGAGCAGGCTGCTGCTGTGAGGGAGCAGGAATCAGTATGAACGTTTGCTGCACCTCAGCTGCTGTGTTCAAGTTTGCAGTGTCCTGTAGGTGGACCTCCGCTGCTGCATGCTTTATTCCAGACACATAATATTGCGGTCCTGTCAGGATCGTTGGCTTAAATACACACAGTAACCTTCAGCTAACTCTGTGGTTTCTGACGGTGTCAGAGCGTGTTGAGAGTGCGATGCCACAGATGAGGTAGCAGGAAAAAGTTTCCTTTTCATAGCTTTGAACATCGAGCCTCCCTGTTCTCTGTGCGAGGACATTTAGTGAACATAACTCTGTGCTCGCTGTAACTGTATGTAATCATCATTCTCATCCAGCTGCTGGCAGGTTACACTCTTAATACAGGCGAGTGAAGGTAAGACTCACTCTGTTTGCTTCATCTGAGTCATGGAGGCCGTTTTCTCTCTGCTGAAACTTCCCGTAAGAAGCAGGAGAACAACGAGCTGTGAGCCAGTCTGAACAGTGTGTTACGCAGTACAGGAGAGGACTTTGTGCCTGTAACAGAGCCTCAACACAAGTATTTGTTTTAATGCAAAGATATTAACAACTGATTATTTAAGCAGGAGCCTGGAGGGGAGCAGATTTCACTTAGATGCCTCAGACATGGGAGGAGGTGCTCGTGTGTTATTACAGAGTGATGTTGCACTGTTAACACGGCACACTCACTCTGCACGTCCTGTTTGTAGCTGTGGCCGAACATATACAAGCGTTCTTCAACATTATTATGTTTATTTATGAGATCAGGCTCATGGATGTTGGTGGGGCTGGATGTTACCTGCAGCCTGAGAGTTGCTGCTGCCTGCTGAATATGTAGAAAGTGATGCTGTGGTTACACTGATGCTGACTGTAGGCCACTGCTTCTGTAATCTAACCCACTCTAATCATTTTATCATGTTTACATCATTCCATCCTCGCATTTGGAGTCTCTGATTGAGCTATTTTTGCAGCTGGCGTCATCGCATAAGAGTCTACGAGTCTTACAGCCTCGCAGCTGTGCGCGATACAGCCCGTCTGCCCACACAGGCTCTGAGCTAAATGTTAGGAGTAATGCTTTGATTCAAAGGTGTTGAAACCCTCTTTCAGCAGCGTTCCACCTGCCTGTCGGTGCGATAAGGTAGGAGGCAGAACCGCTCAGCGGAAGAGCAGCGAGTCACGCTGTAAGACAAAAGGAGAAAAGGGCATCGTGCATCATCCATCACAGGCGCTGCCTTTCCATTTAGCTCTGTGTCTCCAGGCTGCACCTCTGACAGTCAGTGTCCTAATACCTCATCACAGGCCCACAAGGATAACGCATGACTCAGCAGAGAGACCCGCTCTGTGATGACTGTCGGCCGTCGTAGTAAAATAATAATACGAGTGTTTGCTGATACAGGAAGTCGCTGTGGGATTCCTGACGTCCTGGTCACTGGTCATGCACAGCAGATGGCGAGGTTACTGGTTCCTGAGATGAAGTCACCAATTTGATTAATCTCTGCATCCGTTTCCTTCGTTAGGAGTATTTATTGGAGCCGCTGCTCTGCCGGCAGCTGAAGTCATGCTTTTCTTCTTTATTCAGATCGATAATTATGATGCTGCATGGTGCCGCTAAAACAAAAGCTTTGATTTTCCTTATATATCTGTGTTCATCACTACGGGCCTCCTCCCACTTCCTGTGGTCGTCTCATTTCTTCCACACTTTGTCTTTTATGCGAGCGATTATCTCAAACTGAAGCACTCAGTGCTGAAAGGCTTTTCTAAAGAAGGAGTTTCTTCCTCTTCCACAGGGACGCCATCACGACTCGCTGTGAAACTCCAGGTCTGGTTCTTAAAATACAGCAATTTAAACGTTTAATGTCAACATTTTTCAGAATTTGTGCTCTTGGATGGATGTTTGTGTATCCATTCGAAGTAATAACGATGAATAAAATGCTTCTTTAAACAAGGAAATGTACAAATTGGACGTCTGAAGCCTAAATGCTTGTTGTGGGAATAGACGCCTGTGTAATCCTCTGCTGCCCGTGCTGCTGCACACCCCACCTTTCCCCAGGCCAGTTTGAATATCATCGTCTCCTCGAGCCCCTTAAATCCTTATTGAATCGCCTGCCCTCTCATTTGTCTTCTGTCTAATAATGCTGCCTTGCTGGGTGGCTGTTGGGCTCCACAGTGATCAGCATGAGAGTGACTTACTGCTCTGGTCTTTGTTCTCTGCTCACAAAACCAGACGGTGAAGAAGCAGCCTCGCATCACACAGTTATTTTCTTGTGTTATTCAGCAGGAGTGTAAGTGTTTGTGTGGTCGAGAAAAACACCTGAAACATCAAAGTAATAATAAAAATGTTTTTTCCAAACATTAAATTCTGAACAGTTAAAAAAAAGGTGAAATATTTGTTATCGGCTGTTTCCAGGAGACGCACGTTCACACAGGTTTGCTGATTGTAGGCGACACAGTGTTGTGTGTCATAGATGTGCGTTTCCGGTCTGTGTGCTCCTCCTCCTCGTGTTTCCTGTTTTACTTTGACAGTCTCGTGCGCTACGTGAGTGTCGTCGGCTTCGTTGCTCCGGTCTCGTTGTGCGGTCGCTCCCAGCTGTCTCTCTGTGTTTGTTCCTCTGTTTGTTTCTGGATCGTCTGCATTTCCTCTGCCGTTCTTCCCGCCGTGTTTCCAGGTGTCATCTTTAGCTTTTGCTAGTTCCCTTCCTGCCTTTTGTTTTGTAATGTTTGCTGCAGCCCTAAATAAAGGCTCGCTTTTTGTTAACATCCACCTCCGTTTGTCTGCGTTTAGGTCCACATCCCCTTCTCTCCACGCAGACGGGACCGTTTTCAGTAATTCATACATCAAATGTAAAGTTTTGTGCAGAATGATGGTGGGTGTTTCTGGAATGGACCAGGCTAAGCTTGAAGCGAATATCAACAGTGTGAAATGTTACAGAAGACATAAAAAGATCAAGCTTTTACTGCTGGGAGTTTCTGTGAAGTACCATAAGTAGAGTGTTTCTGCCGGACTTGCAGACTGAGGGAAAAAGTTCCTCTCACATGAGAAAAGCAGGAATTGCATCATTAAAGGGCAGGAAGAGCAAATGTGGGCAATCATACCTGCGTGAAAGGTGCTATCCTGCAACAACACGGTTCTAAATGAAGCCTCGACAAAGGATGAGTCAGGCCGTGACGTCCGTGCATGAGTCAGGCTCTGACTCGTCTGAAGAAGGGAGCTTATCACGGAGAAAATGACTGTGACACGGTGTCACATACAGCACACTCTCCTGCATCAGTTACACTCAGGCAACAAAACACCAGAGAGAAGACTTCAGTGTAATTACCGCTCGCCTGCTCTTACGTTGCTTTTTAAGACATTTCTTATCTTTATATCTTTAAAATGATGTTTTGAGCAGGTTTCACATGGACAACATGTTGGACACATATAAGCACATCAGCATAAGCAGCACCAGGCGTATATTAGTGTCCTAACACTCAGAGACGTGCGTGGTTATGTGTTTGACCCAGAGACGCACAAAGCGTTGTTTGGCTGACGCTCAGCCGGTTTTCCTTCTTCTCTCTGCAGGATCACATTTTGCCACCTGCCCTTTCAGAGTAAATGGCTGTATGTGGGGACGGAGCGCGGGAACACACACATCGTCAACATCGAGTCCTTCGTTTTGTCCGGATACGTCATCATGTGGAACAAGGCCATCGAACTGTGAGTATCTGAGGCTGAAACAGAAGCGGTGCTAAATCGTGAGGATGGTGTGGGTTTACGATAAACGATGAGTTTATTCTGAAGGTGCATGCTTAGATCCATGCATGCTGTAAGCGTCGCACTGTAACGGCAGCTACCAGACTTGAGCTTTTCCTCCTTTGGACTTTCCTTAACGCTCCCCAATGACAGCATTTGAGGACCTCCATCTGCCTTTTGTGAGCGGTTCTGACATCTCTAAAGTCGTGGTTTGATCACCATTGGAATATTTTGTTTGTTTTTCCGAGGGAGGCGGTAAAGGAAGAGACTTCCTGCAAACACGGTTATTTTGTTCTACAAGCAGGCGTGAAAGAAAAAGAGCTTCGAGGCTGACTGCTAGCAGGCTTTCAAAGGGTCAAGAGTTAGACGTTACCGTTAGATTCCTTCAGTGAAACACGATGTGCACGCTCTTGTGTTTGGTTATTGTGAAACTGACACATGCCCCCGACTGACAGCTCGGCGCCATCAGGCACGCACACGCTGCTCGGCTGCATTGTACGGCCGTTTGTTTTCCGCGGCGTCACCCACCTACGCGCTGCTCTTCTGCTGTTACCCTGACAAGTCCCCTGCTGCAGTGTCAGTCACAAGTCGCTCTTATACCGAGCCATCTTGTTGCCTTGTGACAGTTGAAATACGGCGAGCAGTCTCGACACGATGTGCGTGTGTGGGAGGTGCTGTCTGCCAATCATCACACAGAGGCAGCGGTTGGGATTTTAGCAGGAAGTTTGGTTTGTTGATTCTTCAGGACAAAGTCAACAAGGACAAGCTCAGCATCCGTTTAAGAACCTGAGAAGTTTGAACTGTTACAGTGAAATAGAAGAAGAAAAGTGTTTCATGTGGAAGGTCGTTGGCTGTTGATGAAGACCTGCTCTGGCTGTAAGGCTGCCCTGCATGCACGCGCAACACGTCCTTTATCACCTTCACCTTTTAAATATTGTTGTAATTGGTCTCAGCGCAGGAGGAAAGCGGCCGCACGCATGAACTCCTCGTGTAGATCGTGTCCTTCTGTGATGAGTTTTTCATTTTGCAGTAGTCTGTGGACCGCAGCGTGATAACGGTCTGCTTTGATCACATGACTGTGGTCACACCTGCTGCATGATAACATGCTCAGAGCAGCTGTTTCTCGTCCGTGTGTCCAGTCAGAGTAACACAGGCTCGGTCATATTTGTTTAACTGAAGACTTCAAATATTACCAGTTTATCAGGGTTAGAAAAGCATGCTGAGGCTACGTTACTCCTTCACCTTGATACGTGCACCTCGTTACTGACGTAGGCGGCTCAGGATTGGTTGGTTTTGTTTGGAATGACTCTGTGTGGATTAACCGTCAGCACAGACAGCGTGCAGCACAGACAGCGTGCAGCACAGACAGCGTGCAGCACAGACAGCGTGCAGCACCGCCTTCGTGCAGCGTGCAGCACCGCCTTCGTGCAGCGTGCAGCCACCTTCACCTGCTCGTGCTTCAGGATTTCCAGGTGACATAATGATGGATAAACACACCGATGTGAATGCGTTACGACTTTGATGCACATGAAACACGTCGTGTAATTAGCTGCAGTTAATGAGGACTGCAGCCACCTGCAGCCTGCGAGCTGTCAGTGTGAGTGAGCATGTCATGTGAACGGGCGTTTTGTTTCCCACAACAAAGAAAGATGAATGTTAAATGCAGTGGGTGTGACTGGTAAATGAACTGGTTCTTATGTGGTGTGTTTCTGCTCTAAAAGCACCGTATTCAACGTGCTTCCTCCACCCATTCACACGAGCACTTTGTGCTACGCCTCAGTGCTTTCTGACGTCGTACATGTTCACGGGAAAAGTTCATATCTGGGTAATTAAACAGCCAAAAACATGCGAGCCACCAACACGTCCGACTAAGGCAGGTCACGTTACCGAATCCGACCGTTTGTTGTTCTGCTTATCCAGTTAAGAGTCACGGCTGAGCTGGAGCCAATCACAGCAGTGAAAAGGGCCGGACAAGCATTCGCTCACTACTTCACACTTACAGCCAAGCCAGCGTTCTCAGATTAGCTCATGTGTACTTCAGGATAACATAAGAAGATAATACTTGGATGAGAAGCTCATTGAGTTGGTCGTTTCTCCTTCGTCGGTCGACTTCTGTGGATTTTCCTTTAGTGAGGACGGAGCTATGAGGCCAGTGTAGGACGTGCAGCGGTTTCCGTCTTTGTCTTGTTTTTCTTCTTCCTCGTCTTCCTGCAGCCTGGTGCATACACCTGCCTACAGTACCTGCAGTATAGAAACAGCCTCGTTTTCAGTGTTCTGGTATTGAATCGTAGATCTCGGTGACATCTCTAATGCTTCTATAGAAAAGTGCCTCAACGTGCTGACGCAGCTAAATGTCTGCTGGATCCTCTATAATTAAATATCAGGGAGAGATGGCCTGTAGATAATGGCTCATTTAAGAATAGGTAACTTTCCTTTATGACTTGAGCTGCAGAGTGTACCACAGTCTCAACAACGGGCATGTATTATACACAACGCTGTAATATATTCTGTATTTCCTAACCGTCAGCACTCTTTATCTTCCTGAAGGAGGGTTCATGAACGAGTCGAGAATGAATCTCTTCTCATCAACAGTGACTGGGGACTCGTGTTATTTATCTGGGGAGGATTTCCACGAAGCATGAATAAGGATGAGAGGGGACTTTGTGCAACAAGCGAGGGCGAAGTCTCCTAACTGTGCAAGCAGGAGGGCGTGGATCGCGTCGACGTATGACTGCACGAGTCGTTTGGTTGGTTCTGTGTGCAAAAAACCAATTCAAATGGGACCAGTGCAGCCAAACAGGAGGGCCGGGCTCTCATTGATATTCAGACGGGTTTGCAACATATTTAATGCACAATTTCATCTTCGGGAGATTCGCTCTGAAATGAGAGATAGAAATGAGATGCGAGGAGAAACACAGCAGCCCAGTGCTCACTCCTCACAGAGCCCTCTGATGAGCAGAAGTATGTTTGCGCCTGGCTTCGTGTCAGCTGTAATAAACACCGGCACGTTTTCCTATTTCTGCTATTGGGACTGTAAAATAAACAGTTGGCTTCCAGCCACCGCCCGGTTTCACGGCCTCTTCACAGCATGATGAGCAAAAATGCTTCCGTGCTTGAGAAATCCATACGTCAGCGGGAGGGTTATGAAAAGATCATCGTCTTTATTAAATACTGTGTGTAAAAAGGCCGCGCTGACAGGTTTACGCCCTCCGACCTCACAGAACGGTTTTTCTGTTCTGAGCCTTACGTTGGTGCAGCTGGTGAAGAACGGCCACTTTAAACAGCGTTTGTCTTTCTCATGGAAATCCTGCACTTCGTACGTGCATCAGCACTCTGAGCTGCTCCCCACCACATGCATGCAGCACAAGCAGCAGGTGGCCTGTCAACAAACAGTGTTTCTCCAAACCTTCCACGTGGACATTTAGCAGAGCGTGCTGGTTCATAGCCCACCCAGCCACGTTTCAGAGTGGACGGAAACCCACTCAGAGAGCTCTGAGTGTAAATCGCTGCAGAGATAAAGTCATAAAAACTACAGACACCTGCCTGAAGGTCAAGAAACGTTCAGCGCTTGAAGAAATTTACTGTAAACCCCCCCCCCTTACAAAAACCCCTCTGAGTCAAACACGTGAGATCATTTAAACCGTTTTCTTGACCAAATACATTCATGTTTACTGTTGTTTGGATTTGAGACTGAGCCGATGATTTAAATATTATCATTTCTAATTCTAACATTGAATAAGGTTAAAGCCTCAGCTGGCATGTTAACGTCTGCGTAGTTACAGAAAGACTTTGGAAACGTTGTCACAAGAGCCGTACTTCAGGTGAGGGAGGGGTGGGGCCTGGACGCCTTACAGTCACCGAGTAATTATGTCAAAGCTTTTGTTTCATCACTTCCTCTGTC